CATATTAAAAAGGGGGAATTTCATTAATTCGATATTTTTCGGGCAAAGTCCCTTTGCCCCAAGAAGGAGGAGAGCCATTGATGATGGCAATGAGGAACTTTGATGGTAGCTAACATAGTAGCCTCAGCCGCGACGAAGTCTCTTAATACTTTTTTTTCCCTGAATAATCGCCTTTGCGATATTAAATGATGTTCTTTCGGACACAGCGAGATTGGCTTACAGAAAAAATCGCTCTACTTCGGAACTATTACTGAGGGTGTAGAGCTTTCAAAGCCAAATGAGAATCCGAAGTGTTATTTACGCATAGCAAATTTCTCACAGGAAGAAGGAGCGCCCGGCGTAGCCGGGCGAATCCATAAGAAGGAGGGAAGCCTGGCGTTAGCGGGGCGGCCCGACTGGTTAGACAATAAACGCACATACGAGCAATGGGCAAGGAACTGTTATACAAAGACTCTCTACGTCAATATGATACTAGTTAGCTCCAGGTACGGTGAGCCCGATGAGAAGGTACAGGGGAGTCGACGCTGTTTGGTGTCGTTGTCACCAGAGAAGTTGTGGAGAAGTAAGCATAACAAAGGAGTCAAAGCATGAGGACTGAAGATCGACAAAACATTCAAGTCAACCGGACCTGCGAGTTGGCCCTTTCAACTACGTTTCCTTATGATAAAAGGAGAGCTCTGAGCCCTCCAATCGGATCAAAGCTGAATTCTCATTTGGAGAACTACTCTGGTTTAACACTTCTTTTGGAAAAACTTGAAAAGGGGATAATTTGTACCTGGAACGTTGGAATATTGTAGGGCTGCGTGTGGCAAGGTGTGAACGCTGATGGTAGATGACGGACTGGTGGATTCCGCTCACAGGTAGCGTTGGGGGTAAGGAGACGGCGTGGGTACATGGAATGAGTCGTAATCTGATTAAGCGCGCACAGTCAAGTTGGAATAAGTGGGGCTTGAACCATTTCATTTGAGCACACATGACGTGAAAGGAGGTCCTTTCTGCTGGACCATCCAAATTTTAAAAGGGTGCAGACGACGAGCCTGTTCTAGCACAAAAAAGGAGAGCCTAACGTCAGCTGAGCGACTCGACTGATACGAAGATAACAAATGAAAAAGAATAATAGTTGGTGGAGAATCGGTTAAAGAAAGGAAGGGATGGCAAAACAACAGCGGAGAACAGGATGTTTCGAAACCGGTATTCAAAAGTACTTCAGATCGTGTTCGAAAACGTCATCATTGATAAAACCAACCCGGAATGATTCATTTAGTCTGACCGATATGCAGATGCACGTGTGCAATCTTGGCCTAATGCTCCTTGTTGTTTCTGTGAATGCAGGAATTAAAGAAGTGAGTGTCTAACGGAGTTTATTCATAGAGCTGGGAGAGCAGCTTCCACGCAAAGAAGCTAGGCGAGGGCAAGCGGGGTCTCGACAGTGTAAGAAACAGGGCACGGTGCCCAGAAAGCAGAAGTACAGGTTCGAGTCCCGTTCGAGACAGAAGTTTTGTCTATAAATTGTCAACCTTGTTGAGCTTCCACACAGTTCTGCACGACAACATGCCGACTTGAAAATTTCTCCAAAACTAGCACAACAGGATTTCTTCTTCCAAAGGAAGTGTTGAGAGCAAAATGCGCATTTAATCGATAGGATATTGGGTACCATCACCTAGTCCAAGTCTATTCTTATCCACAGTGAACACTTTTTTTCCGGGACTTCTTGAAAAAAACTCTCCAGTACGAATTCTGAATAATTTTCAAAGTGGACTTAGATTTATGCAAAGCAAGGTACTCTTGGACCGGACAACGACACACACTGGTGTAGTACAACAATCGGAGATATAGGTGTAATCTACTGGAGGAGTGGGATTAGAGCAGCAACATCTAAGCTATTGAAGAGTACCTCACGAACAAATTATGAGACACGATTTGCTATTGATCGCTTTCCCATTGTTAAGGATTCTCATTGTTCTCTTTGGATTGGATCACCTTGCCATCGAAAATGAGTTGAACAAAACTATCTAAAGCATGCATGAATCTCGAGCTTACGTACACTTTTTCGTTCTTATTGTCATACAACATTCTCAGCTGATTGTGAGTCGCTTAGCTTTTTTGTTGCTCGTGAAATTGTGGGAATCGGAGTCGGTTCACAGCAAATGGCTGTTCTGTAGTTATTTCATTTAAGAGTCGCTAGAGTGATCGAAAGGAAGAAGATGATCTTAACCAGATCACGGACACTGTCACGAACGAGCGGGGCGATCTGCTTAGCAATATTGTCACGAATGAGCTGTTGTGAGCACTACCCTCCCACGGATGTAGATCAGATCAGATCATTCCCGAAGATCCACCGACGAAGAGGTTGACTGAGTGCAGCTAGATAGAGCTAGCTATTTGCTGAACATGCTTCTTCTTCTGTGCAACGAAGGAGTGATCCCAAAAACAAGTAGAGACAGAAAAGGCATCTGAAAGCAAATCTGCAAGCTGCTGCTCCTCGCACTCCTTTCTACCGCTTGAATATTATTTCAAAATATGCCGGCTACCTGGCTATTGCTCTCCAGTGTTTGAAAAGAGATCAACGTTGAGGTGTCCTAAAAATTGAGTTACGCATTCATTAAGATTCTCATGGAGAAGGCTAAAAAAGCAAAGACATGGCTCGAAGATGACAGCAGATTCCGCTACGACATTGAATGCCCATGGTTACGAGGAGAGGAACGAGCTATACGAGAATCCGAAGGCAGATGCCCACCTCTTCCAACAACAACGTACTCAATCTGATAAGTTAACCTATACTCCAGCTGTTGGCATTTCTGAGCAGTCACTTCGGCTTAAGCGAATCTAGAACATTTAACCTTGGGAAACATTACGTACATTACTGTTTCGATTTTTGCAGTTAGATGCCACGTTGACGAACGGGCAGGGTTCTAGTTTCCTACTTTTTTTTTCTCAGGAGAAAGCATATGTTACCAAACAAATAGCATGAGAAATGAATGATGGAAGGGACAAGGGCAGCAGAAAGTTCTCCGGTCAATGGTCTTGGTCATTGTATACATATTCAAGTGAAGAATGTCCCAAAGTCTGATGCTGATGGCGTAATGAAGCTTTGACATACGTCCCCTTTCTGGAACAGTTCATAGAGCTCTCAGCAAGGCAGCACTTCAGCCCCAGAGGCAAAGAGTGGTGCACACGAGAGCTGCCCGATCACATTAGCATCGAAAAGTGACCATCCTGCTCCCCTGTCTGAACCCATTAGGTATCCTATGGTCAGTTCAGTTCTTAACTGGAGAGGAAGGCAGTCGAGCTCGCCACCCCAATTTGGAGTATTCAAAAGCAGCATTGAAGAGCGGCTGGGAAGAAATGAAGGACAAATGCGTATAATGCGCAAAGGGTTCCACCAAGAAATTTCAAGCCTTTGTGCATAATTGTGGAAGATGTTTTGTTATTTGATTACAGGTTTTTGACACCCATAATATAGGCACACATGTATTTAGGTTTCTTTGTAATTCTCAACTTCAAATACATTGCAATAAGCGTCTATAGTTTTGGGGCACCCTGCACATACAGGGTGACCCACATCAAGTGTGACGGGCAATAAAAAAATCCTATGGGCTTCTGGGCTGGAGGATGCGGTAATCACTTGGGCGGAAAGGATCGCGATGAACGTCAGCTGAACCTATCGTAGGGTTGGGCACTAGCACACAGCACAAAGAAGATGCTCTAATGTTGTGAACCCACTTCCAGGTTTTTGGGGCGAAGCAGGTTTGACCTTCAAATTCCCCGATCTCAATCCTTTGGATTTAGCTGTATGAACGATTCTGGAGCAAAAGCCTGCACTTTCAAAAACAGGTTTTTGGACCCTCTAAAAAAAGCTCTCTTGTAGAAGCGTGGGATGAAAGTGATTGCGTGCATTCTGGAAAACTTCCGAAAGAGGTTATCCTATATGGTCATTCTGCATGCGAAATGTCATATGTTGTTTACAATTTTGTGGTGATTGGGAGTAAATGTCTCCTATTTGGTTTGATTTGTATAATTTTGATGCTAGTTTTCTGCGTCGCACCTCATGTGGGTCACCCTGTATAGGCTCGAGAACGTAGGCTAGACATAGAACGCTTTTGCAACTGCATTAAAAGTGTCCGCTGAGGAAGAAGAGGAAGAAGAAAGTAGAAGGATCAAGGAAGAAGGAACAGTGAGCTAGGAACAAGGGACAAGGTTCCAGAAGTGCATTATTGAGCACGCACTGCTCGTCGTGCTAGTTCCTGATGCAAATTCTGTTTTTTCTCGATTAACCTTCCAAGAGGTGAAATTGAAACTGGAATCGCCTTTGCCGAGCATCCAAACAGAAGAGCTTCTCTCCTTTCCTAGTCTGTGAGAATACGAGGTTGCTTATCGAGGTCCATTTGTGCGTTATTCGTTCGGGAGGAGAGAGTCAGATGACCTTCAGTGGTTGTGAAGGCAATGGAAACAGAAGTGCAGAGTCACACACGGTTTGATGAATGCATCGAATCTGGAGACGAAAATGGAAGTGGTGAGGGTCAGGAGTGCAATAGTTATAAGAGAAGAGAAAAATTAAATATTATTATGGAAAGTTGAAAGCTTAGCTGATATAGAAAGGATAAATGCCTTCCACATTTGATAATGAAATGCCCAAAACAAGGTTGTGGATCTTCAGTTGGACAACTTGAGGCTACTATAGGAAGGCTATTTCACTTGCAACACTTCAAATACTCATCCAGAGCAACCAAGATCAGGCACTCGCCTTGTAAAATTGAACGTGCGTTATCAATGGCAAGCTCTGCCACATTTCCTTTACCTCCAACAGTTCAGGTTGGCACAATTCAGTAATCGCCATAGACAACTTGTAATGGGCGTATTCTATGAGGCACCAGTTCGCCAGCTGTGATGGATTTTAGGGCCCTACGTGGTTTCTTAGGTTCTTACTCGACACAAACCGAAAGAAACTTCAGAAAATGGCTCTAAATAGCCCAAAAGTAAATATGCAAATTACAATGCTCGTAGTATATAAATCGAGCGGATCTAGAAATCATTCTGCGCGCTAGCCCTAGTGATATCAACCTAGCCACTTGCTCTCATTCGTTCACCTCATCACTTGAGTAGTTTTTTGTCAAATTTGTTTTTAAGCGAGCCGCAGCCAACAACAACCACAAAACGGAGCTTACTGCCTCCCTGGTTGCAAGAGCGGATAGGACGAAAAACGAAAAAGAAGAAGAAAGCACTCCTCAGTATCAAGACCAAACAGACTATCATGAGCGCATTTTCTCTTGGTAAGGTCTCAAAAGCTTCTTTAGCTCTCGAAAACAGCTCCCGCGACAATGTAGGAGTTGATAGAGCTATTGAAATGAAAATGCGGGAGGCTATTGTTACTGCTTGCTTGCCTGCTTCTTTTCAATTTTTAAAATTTTCGTTGAACAGATTAATGATTGGCTTTTCGTAGGTTGGATGTGTACACTTCTCTTTCTCATGTAATAATTTTTTTTNTTTTTTTTCATTTTCCCTTGCGGACGTCCCCGGCAATAAAATTATTAGGCTTAATAATAAAAAAATTAAGCTTTTATTCTTCAAAGTTGTAATTTTTAATGATCTTAATTGCTTCACACATTTATTATGTTACCAGCCTGGTCATAAACTAACATCGGACTCTCGTCCTAAAAAAGGTAGGGAAACACGACCCAGAAAGTGTCATAAAATTACCATGGAAGGGCGCTGATCAAGGGTTGGTGACATTCTTACATAGCAACTCCCTGTAATTTCCTAGAACATCGCAGGAAAAAAATTGACCAGTGCGTGAATGTCCAGCAGACACCTGTCATGCGAGTTATTATTCTCCTTTAATGTTCGGTATATGAACTCAGCCGAAGGAAATGAGACTTGGTTAATGATTTCTTTGAAAGGAGGAGTGAAGATTGTGAACATCGACCTTGACACGAGGCATGCTTTTCATGAATTGGTCACAGGAATCAGCCTTTCTCTTACTTGTGACGAACTTCAGAGGAAGACATGGCAAAATGAGGTGGGTGCTCAATTCTTCCTTGGCTTAATCTACTATTGTCTGAGCCTGGAATAGTGGCATATCGTTCATCACGGAAAGAAACCAGCGGTCTTTATGAGTGGAGTAGCAGCCGTGATTGCATGCTGCGCTCCATGTCACACGATTAGTTCAAAAGCGATAAATTTTGCGTCACACAAAGCCAGGGAAGACGAAAGTGCTTTTCTACTATGCCAGCTTTGCAAATTTATTTGCAGCATCGTTCAGCAGGATTTAGGGCCAAATTGATGGTCCCAACTTAATGCGTTCCAATGGCCATTTTGGCAGTAATCAAAGCACATTTAGCAGCATAATAACTTCAGTGTTATGAATATCTCTTAGGCAGATGACAATTTTATTCAGTTTAGGCAAAAATATAGTGGATAAGTAAACTAGAGTTTACACTTCTGCTTCGGCATAGTACGTATGGTGCAACGAAGGGAAAAATGCATCGGTGGACCAGTTTCATCTGATTGACCTGATCGTGGGAGTTTGGATCCCGGCCTAGTCCCACTCACGCAAGAAGAAATCCTCAAGCTCTCCCAATTATGATACAATATTTCTATGTCATAAGGGCTCTCGGGGGTAATGCTATCGCCTACATCTTAACTCTTACCAGCTTTTCTTGGATGACTGTGTATGATCTCACTTCGACTCATGACTTTTGTTTAGACGGATTCCACCATATTGTGGTACCTGAATAGTGAACCAATACGGAATCAAAGATTCGAGTGGAGAGTCACCGTTTCTACAGAGGGAGTGTTGAGTGAGCAACTTCTGGACAATATTCCTCTTATTCGTCTTACTCATTGTCATCCGGAGTACTAAACTTCGTAAAAGTTTGTATCTCCCTCATATACCGAAATTTGCTTTCTAAATTTTGCTTGTTGTTGTGTATTGTTCATAACTACCAGCATGCAGCGTAGCAAAAGGGCTTCAGAATTTTTCCAATCTATCAGTCCCATCACAACCTTAGGCACTCTGCTGCTGTTTCGGAGGGCAACCAGTGTGCCCAAAAAGTTTCCTGATAAAGTGCGAGCCTACTCGTTCACGATGTCAACTGAGAACTCCGTGGTGCCTTGAACTGATAGGAAAACGAGCTCTTCTAAATTCAAGCTCTTTCTTCTGAAGTTAAGCATTCTGCCATCAACACTGTGTCGTTCAAAAAACACATTATAGTACTAATCCAGTACTTCTACAGATATTTGGCCTCTAATGGAAGAGGATGGTGGACATTACGAATGTTCAGTGGATGGTAGTATAATGGGTTCGGCGCTTATTAATGTGAAAGCGAAATCAGTAAGTGGTTTCATTTAAGCTCTTAATATTTTGTGAAGTCTGGCTCGCTTTCACATCTGACTGGTGAGATTCGAAACCCCGTCTATCCTATCAGTACTTGCTTAAGCGTAAGTACACTTTAAGGAAGCTGTGATTCAAGGACTTTACAACTACCTTTATGTAGCAGTATTCTACATACCGGTTGCGATATACGCGATAATACTCACCAGCCGAGATATCGCAAGACCACCAAAAAAATCACAAAGGGAGGATAAGATGACTGCATTTCTTGAGCAACACGTGCTCAAGAACGGGCAAGATGTGAAGGTAGTTTCTTGGTCATTTTTGTCAGCATGGATTGCTCATCGTAGGTCCAGCAAGGAAGCGTGTGGGTCAGCTTTCGCTATCATTAGGCAAAAATGATTGTTCAGGAGAACATTGCCAAAATAATTTATGGAGATCAGTTTGAAAAGAGGAAAGACGAGATTACGAAATCCATTGCAGCCGGCATCACCCCAAATGGTAATTGTACACTGATGATAGTAGCTACTCTTGTTATGCAACAATTGCCATTTTTGGTAATCACGGCCATTCTTCTGCCCACCCCTTTGAGTCCCTTTTCCGTCCTGTCAATTTACTGCTATATTAGTCTTCACAACAGCAACAGTTTTGTCTGATTTAGTCAAAGATGTGTCCCTAGTAGCAATACTCTTCAAAGTCTATTGGCAGTTGTTCTGCTGAATTTGGTCCAATTCACTGAATTTATCCTTTCCTCTCTTATAGCCAGGGAGGGTATCTTAGTGGTTAGTTCCAGCTGGCGCGGGTGCTTGCTTCCATGGGGTGCTTATCCATCGAGTAGGTGGTAATTCTGAGACAGGTTCAAACTTTGAGGGGCATGTTGGTGTCTCCCACTTGCTCAAGAGGAAACCACCGTATATATTGTCTCTCACAATAAGGTAGTTGTCTGAATATTCACTTTGTCCTGGACGGTTACAGAACGCGGACAAACAACTGAAACACTTCAAAGGCGGTTTTGTCACCACATGTGGTCGCTTTTTGCGTCGAAGTAATTTCATTCAGGTGAACGCAACAGACCGTGCTGTCTTATAATGTAGTAAAGGTGACAGGGGAACGGGTGGAACACTTCAAGTTTCACTCCTTTTTGAGCCCTTCACCATTGGTGGGGTGAAGGTTACCGGCTTCTTTTAGGGATGTATGACTTATTTAGTTCCAATAAGTGTTGCTCCCTTTTTTGCGTCGAAGTAATTTCATTCAGGTGAAAGCAACATAATGTGCTGTCTTTTAATGTAGCAAGGGTCACAGAGGGACGGGTGGAACACATTAGCTTTTATCACGTTTCGAACCCTTCACTATTGGTGGGGTGCCGGGTACCGGCTTCTGTTGGGGATGTATGACTTATTTCCAATGAGTGTTGGTGCCTTTTCCTTGGTTCATCCTTATTTGGAAGACCCCATCTATTTCTCTTTTTGCCAAAAAGCGAAGATCGTTTCATTTCATCCTTATGTTTTCAGGTGAGAAACTACGTGGAAATCATGACACAATCATGACTCTTCTGGGCAATCCGAAATCTATGCATGTTGGAGAAGTGAGGAGGAGAACAAGGGTGAGAATTATTGAAAGTATTTCTGTGATCCAGCTTGTTTCGATAGTATTCAAAAAGCGAAGATCGTTTCATTTCATCCTTATGTTTTCAGGTGAGAAACTACGTGGGAATCATGACACAATCATGACTCTTCTGGGCAATCCGAAATCTATGCATGTTGGAGAAGTGAAGAGGAGAACAACGGTGAAAATTATTGAATGTGTTTATGTGATCCAGCTTGTCTCGATAGAATTTTACCTAGGCAATCCTATAAGATTTTTTATGTTCAGAAAGGAGTTGGCAAGAACAAGGATTTGAAATATCAGTCAGTAATGCCCAAGGTGGATCCAACTCAGCTAGACAACACTTTGCAACAAGATTTTCGGCACTTTGTCTGATTAGATCCATTCAAGGCTAACTACATCCTCGTTACGATTTGAACTTGTTGTCTTACTTTGCAAGCCCTTCTTGTTTCATCAATCTCCAATATAACTTCTTTGTTCTTTTTTAATACATACAGTAGCGCTCAATAGTCTTCGGTGAAATGGTTCTTCAGCCGTACTTTTCAGTCGTAACTCCTTTCCTACTGGAT